GCTTCCACAGAAGCCCCCCTCCTCCCCAGAGAGCTGGAGTTGAGTGACGATTGTTCCCCGTCTGGAGAATGCACTGCATGCCAGCAGGCTCTGAGCTTGGAGGGTGTTGCCATCATCACCACATCCCCTCCCAACGGTGGGTGGGGGTGAAATAACGGCCTTCCTCGTCCATCCAGGGCACTGCAGTCCTCAGAGGGGACATGACCTGAGAACAGTGGCGCCAACTGAGCCCGAGCTCATGGAATCAGGAACCCTGCGCTGCTTCCGTCTGTGCCTCATATGCTGGAGTGATAGCACAGTGGGTAGGGCTTTTGCCTTGCACGCGACCAACCCGGGTTCGATTCCTCCGTCCCTCTCGGAGAGCCTGGCAAGCTACCGAGAGTATCCCGCCCGCACGGCAGAGCCTGGCAAGCTCCCCGTGGCATATTTGATATGCCAAACACAGTAACAACAAGTCTCACATTGGAGACGCGACTGGTGCCCGCTCGAGCAAATCGATGAACAATGGGAGGACTGTGTTACAGTCTTACAGTGCCTCGTGAGAGAGAGAATGGGCCGGGGTTGGGGGCAGCTGCAGTCCTGTCGACCTCTAAGAAGCCCAGGGGAGCCACACATGCCTCCCACCCTGGTGCCTCGATCCCAGCACACAGGCGGGGGAGGCTTCCCTGGGCTGGCCGTGCCTCGCTCCCGCCAGGGGTCTTGTTCCCTGAGTGCCGGAAATGGGCGAGCAACGTTGAGATTTAGCCTCTAGACCACGAAAGGAAATCCGAACGTAGAGAGTGAAAGTGCAGCTGGATGTCATCTTCTGAAATGTAAAAACGGCCCATATCTTGGAAGGCAGGTTGAGGGGACTTGGAAGTGGGCGTGTCTTCATGGGTGCCCTGTGACTTTGGTCAAGGAAGCACTCCAGGGTCAGAGTAGGGCCGCCTGGCACCCGTCAAGTTCCCTGGGGAGCTTACGTGGCTGGGGACCATGGGGGGAGAGGGGGTGCAGTCCTGCAGTCAGGGCCCTGTTGGCCATGGTGCTGTTCCCTGGTTTTTGTCTCTTTAGAGCACGGAGCTGTGAGGTCAGCCAGGTAGCTCACCTCACGCCCTCCAGGCCCACGCAAGGCCTCACCAAATGCATGATTTCCTCTTTCCTTACAGCAGCGAGGCCATGGGCAGACCCATGTCTAGATGTGCTACGTCCTGGGCCCCTCCTGACTGCCACCCCAGCCCAGCCACAACCCTGGAGTTCCCTCCCCCAGCCTAAGTGCCCCTCCCCTCACCCCCGGCCAGCCTCCTACAGGTCCCTGCCCACCCCGGCCCTACTTCCTATTGGCAGTGTGTGTCTTCTTGTGGGACTGTTGGACTCGGTTCTGCCTTACCGGTTCGAGTGAGACCTCTGTGTCGGTGACAGAGCACACCAGTCTGCACGGGTCTAGCACAGCTGGGGCCCTCGTGGCCACTTGTCTTTGGGGAGTGAATGATTCTGCTCAGCTCAGCCTGTCCTGACATTGGCTTGAGACTTAGAAACAGGCAACTGAGAGGGGATGTGAGGACCGTCTGCTCTGCCCACCCTGGGAGATCAAACCGTAAAGATGACCTTGTGTATGTGTGTTGTACTCGATATGCCAAACACAGTCACAAGTCTTATGATGGAGATGTTACTGGGCCCACTCGAGCAAATCGATGAAGGACGGGAGGACCATGACCGTGTATGTGTGTGTGTGTGTGTGTGTGTGTGTGTGTGTGTGTGTGTGAGAGTGTCTGAGCACTTGTGTGTGTGTGTGAGTGTGCGTGAGTGTGTCTTTGAGTGTGTGTGAGTGTACATGTGTGTGTGTGTGTGTGTGTGTGTGTGTGTGTGTGTCACAGCACCGAGGATCTCAGGGGAGTCCTGAGGATTCATCCAGCTTGGCCCCCAGGATCTGGGCTGTTCCCACGGCACCCTGGGCACCCTATCGAGTTTTCCCGGCCTTCTCCCAGGCTTCTTCCAGCCCTCGGCAGCTGGCCCTTGGGTGCTTGCTGACAGGCCAGGAGGGAGAGAGTTGCAGAGAGAAGCATGGGCCTGTGACTCCCTCCTGTCCCCATGTCTCTGAGTCAGCTGTGGATTGGGGCTCCTGCCTCCCCCCCAACGTGCCAGGACTGGGGCCCGGCCTTCGATGTCCTGCAGGTTCCACTCGCTGGCCTGTGCTGTGAGGTCACCGGGAACTGGGACAGCAGGAAGGAGGCCCTGGGAAGAGGCCTCGGGGACTAAGGGACAGGGTTGCTCGCTGCCACCTGCTGTGAGAGTCTTCCGTGACCTCCGGGCCTCCATCCCCCAGACCGTCGGCTTAGGAGGCTGGTTGCACCCAGCAGGATTCAGGGGCAGGGGGAGGATCCCGGGGGGGGGGGGGGCACTGGGACCTTTTCTGTGGACACAGAAGTGCTCAGAGGTGACACCATTACAGTGAGAGCATCAGAGAGTGTGAATGGGAGATGCGGCCGGCAGCAGGGAAAGGACCACACACAGTGGCCTCTGAGTATCTGCACTGTAGACATGATGCCCGTGGAGGGGGGGGGGGTGGTAAGGAGAGATGGAGGGAGAAGAGAGGGAGACAGGGAGCGAGGGGGTCCTGGGTGGACAGGCCCTGCTCTCTGCCTAGTGGGAGTTTCCCCTCTGGCCGTGTTCTTGAAGCAGCATCTTTGTTTTCGCCTTTGTTTTTCCGGCTCCAAATGGGGCTCCTTGTTTCCTTACCTGCTGCCTTGAACCAGCTCTGCCCATCCCTGAAGTGCCCCCCTTCTTTACCTTTGATTTATTTTTTTACTTTCTTTAAACACTGTGGCACATAAGGTCACCCACAATGCAGTTCTCTCGGGCATCCACTGTCCCTACCTCCCCCTACCCCCCCGTCCCACACCCCTGTCCCCAGTTTCCCACCCCCAAGCCTGCCCCCCCCTTTTAAAAAAAATCTTTTTAAGCCTGCCCCCCTTAACAAGCACACTAGGATTTTACGTGGCTTAAAACTGAATGGTTAGTTGCATTATCAGAAAACAAAAATACTTCAGTCAAAAAAATTTGTGAAGACAGAGATCTTGCTGAGTCCTTGTGTGGGGCTTTCCTGAGCTGTTCCTGGCTAGCTGAGCCGGGGTTATTGTTCACGCTTCGGGAGCGTCATTGGCTCCCAGGACACTTTGCCCGTCTAATTTGCCGTGCTCCTACTGGGCTGTGGGGATGGTGGGACTGGGAGTTGCCTCGTGGCCGTGCATTCCAGGACCTTCCGGAGCTGTAGATCTGGGGTTTACATGGCTGCAGGATGTGGGTGTGGCTGCCGGGTTTGGAGATGGGGGGAGGTTGCCCGCCCCTACTCCGAGAGGCCCTGGAGAAGACCTCAGTGTTTTCAGCCTGAAAACTGGTATACCTAGAATTATTGGTTGGTTTTGGCCTCTGCGCAGATCTGTCTTGAAGCAGTGCATGTGGGTGGCTGGCAGGGTGGCGGCTGTGGGGTGTGGGGGTCCAGATGCTGGGCTTTGGCAGGATGAGGTCTCCCCCACGTCCTTCCCAAGGGTCCCTCGGGCATACCGTGGTTTGTCCCTCTTCCTAGGGCAGTCGTGTGTCTGTGGTGCTGGGCCCACACGGTTCCAAGGCCACAGCTGTGGGGTAATCCTCTCTCCTTTAAAAAATACTTTCTCCCTTCCGTGGTCTCTTACCCCTAAAAACAAAATAAAATATGAAAAAAGAGCCTCTGCTCGGCGTCTGTCCAGCCGTGCCTCCTGCTGTTCCCTAATGACTCTGTATTGTCCCCGTCACAACTTGGCGAGGGAGGGACATGTCCGTCTCACAGATGAGATGCGTCTGCGGGGGCCCTGGCCACGGGGAAGAGTGTTTCCACCACTGCGGTGGGTGAGGCTGGGTGTCAGAGTGTCCTGGGGAGAAACCCAGGGCCCGGGCCAATGCTGCTGAGTTCATCAGCCTGGGTACGTGCCAGGGATGGCTTCCCATCACCTCGTCATTCTTGTTCTTTTCCTTTTGTCCTGGAAAGGCCGTGGTTGACAATACTCTGAACGCATAACTCTGTGTGTGTGTGTGTGTGTGTGTGTGTGTGTGTGTGTGTGAGAAACGTTCTATCCCCCCATGCCTCCCCAAAATGTCCGGTCCCCTCCACCATGGTCTTGGGGTCTTCCCTCTGTCCCCCACCATTGGTCAGTTCTGTCCTGCAGGTCACTTCTCAGGTCCCGTCGCCTCTGGCTATGGTTCACTGCCTCCAAAGGTCTTTAATTTTTAATTCTTTTATTGATTCACCGCGAGGTACAGTAACAAGACTTCCATGTTTGAGCTTCGATCATACAGTCATCAAACACCCATCCCTTCACCAGTGCACGTTTTCCACCACCAGAATTCCCAGTATCCCCACCCCCCCCCAGAAAAAAAACCATTCCACACCTCCCCCTGCCTGTGTGGCAGACAATTTGCGCCATGCTCTCTTTCTCTATGCTGGTTACCTTCAATATTTCGAGACCAGTCCCACCAGCACTCATACCTGTCGAAAGGTGATGCTAGACAATGTGTTTTGTGTTGCTTGTTACGGATACGATATAACGTCACGTGGCCACGAGAGAGGCTGCGTGCTCAAGGAAGTCTAATATTTTAAGAATTAGAGTCTGAAGAGATCACTGCAGCAAGTTGCTTGGGTTCGAGGTTCAGGTTTGTTTGTGCGTCTCTGGATCATGGCCCTGTGGGAGCTTCAGTAGATGGTGGCTGGGTGTGGCATCATCTCTGTGGCCGGGTGTGGCGTCGTCTCAGAGTCCCGTCGGGGCAGGGGGAAGGAGATCCAAAGGTCCCTTTCCCGCCCACCCGTGAGAGAGAGAGAGAGAGCGTCCCGCGTGACGTGGCCCAGCCAGAACGCCGTGTGTGACCGTGTCCCAGACCTGCATTGCCATCCTCCGTGTCCCGGGGCTGGTTCATTCCCCCTCACCCCGTGCCGGGCTCCCCGGGGCCGTTCCCCCGAGCCCACGCGTTGTGTTTGTGTCGTCCCGGTGCAGGTGGGCAAGTGGGAGAACCAGAGCTTGAGCCTGAGGCATGCCGTGTGGCCGCGCTACAAGTCCTTCTCGGACTGCGAGCCCGACGACAACCACCTGAGCATTGTCACCCTGGAGGAGGCCCCGTTCGTCATCGTGGAAGACATCGACCCGCTCACCGAGACCTGCGTCAGGAACACGGTGCCCTGCCGCAAGTTCGTCAGGATCAAGTGAGTCCGGGCGGGTGGGCAGGGGTGGGGCGGGGAGGGGGCAGAAAGGAGGGCAGGGGGGACGCCAGGCCCGGGGCGGCCGCTGGCGTCCAGGCCCTGCGGTGAGGCCTTAGGAACTCCGCAGCGTCTTCTGAAGGATGTTGGATCGAGGTTGGATTGTGACAGAGGCCAAGTGAGCGGCAGCTTAAGGAGCCAGTTCAAGCCCAGCTGCCAACAAGCGAGAGAGGGGCTCAGACAGGTGTGGTCTACACGGCCTTGTTCCCAACACCGTCCTGTCTACACGGGACCGTGCTCTTCCTCCTTACACTGAGTCCCCCTACTTCTCTGGTCTCTCTTTTTCAGCTTGATTTTATTTGCGGAGGGAGGGACCACACTCAGCAGGACTTGGGTGTCACACCTGGCCAGTCGTGTGTTCACGGTCACTCCTGGAAAGGCCCCAGGGCACCCTGTGCAGTGCCAGGGGTCCAGCCCAGGTCAGCCATGGGCAAGGCCAGCACCTCGGCCCTGCCCTGTCTCCCGGCCTGCCCTGAAGGCCTCAGTGCTTTATCTTTTAGTTTCCTGGATGCTCCCTCGCGCTCACCCCTGCGTCTTTCGTCTCCTTTCGTCTCCTGGATGATCCCCCAAGGTTCAAAGCTGGCAAACACCCTCTGCCTTTCTTGCCACCCGGGGGGATGGGGGGCACCCGTGCCCCGCCTGGCTTGTGAGTGCTGGTGGGGGCCGGCTCTGGTTCCTCAGCTCCCCAGCAGCTGGCATGAGCTCCCCCGTCCTTTTCTTGGGGATGAAAAAGAAAAATGAAAGAAAGAAAGAAAGAAAGAAAGAAAGAAAGGAGGGAAGGAGGGAAGGAAGGAAGGAAGGAAGGAAGGAAGGAAGGAAGGAAAAAAGCTTCCCCTCAGCCCTTACCCCCTCAGCGAGGCATCGTGTCCCCAGTGAGGACAGAACCCAACTGGGAAACAGTCATCACTAGCAGTTGACAGCACCTGCCCTATCCTTTCTTTTTTGGGGGGAGTCACACCCATCGATGCTCAGGGGTTCCTCCTGGCTCTACACTTAGGAATTAACTCCTGGTGGTGCTTGAAGGACCCTATGGGATTCTGGGAATCGAACCCAGGTTGACTGCTTACAAGTCAAACGCCCTCCCCGCTGTCCTATCGCTCCGGCCCCACCTGCCCTATTCTTAACGGTCCCTTCCCGCCTTCTGCACCCACTTCCCAAATCTGCATGCTTCTCCCTCCTGCCACAGCTCCCGGACCCAAGTATTCTTCCCTTCGGACCCCTCATGGACTGGGGGTGGGCTGGGGGCTTTGCCGGCCCCTGGCGCATGGTTCTTGCTCTGTGGGCCAGGAGATGGGAGAGCCGGGTGCCAGCCTGGAGGGTGCCGGTCTGCAAGCACCCTCGGAAGCTGACCCTCTGCTTAACTGTGTCCTTGGATGCAGAGCTCAGAGACAGCTTCTCAGAGACATGGACCCTGTTTAGGAAGGCTCAGGCCACCTCGAGCCTGCCAGACCCCATCCCCACAACAGTGGCGGTTTGAGAGGCTGGGAGTGGGGGAAGACGTGGACTCGGGGTCCAGAGCATCCTCTCGCTAACACGGACACCCGCCTAGATGAGGCTCCTTCTGTCTGGAGCAAGAGTGTGAGCGGAGGAGGGGACGGGGCTTGGCACCCCAGGCAAGCCCAGTCCCGATGGTCCACACAGAGTATGGCCAGGCAGATGGGGCACTCGAAGGCTTCTTTGCCCGTCCTGGCCTTGGTCATCCTTAGACGCCGTGTAGAGCTTCAGAGCTCAGCACATGGGATCAAGATGATTGTGTGTTTTTTTAAAAAAAAAACATCGACAGACTGGAGCAATAGCACAGTGGGTAGGGCATTTGCCTTGCACGCGGCTGACCCGGGTTCGGTTCCCAGCATCCCATAAGGTCCCCCGAGTAATTCCTGAGTGCATGAGCCAGGACTAACCCCTGAGCATCACCAGGTGTGACCCAAAAAGAAAAAAAAAAAACAGGATCGATACACATATTAGGAGGCCTGGACGTGGAGATTTTCTTTCTTTCCTTCCTTCTTTCTTTCCTTCTTTCTTCCTTTTCTTTCTTTTTTTTTATCAATGCTTTCTTTCCTTCTTCCTTTTCTTTCTTTCTTTTTTTTTTTTTTTATCAATGAGCAGTCTCGTTGGAACTGAAGTGCTGGCTAGATTACTCAATAAGTAATGATCGGCCAGCTGAGAATTCTCAGCCCCCGTTGGCGTTGGCATCCAGGATGAATGGGTCAGCGAGAGCGCCTTTGGCACTGATGGTGTGCTAGAGGGTGAGCGGGAAACCAGCCGGGCTGCGTGTCAGGCAAGGGCAAGCAGAGCAGGAAACAGACAGAAGGGCCTAGGCAGGAGGGGGAGGGTCGGGGGGGACCCACCAGCTCCCCCAGGTAAGCTTAAGGCAGCCAAAGGTGGAGCAGGGATGCACCCGGGAAGGTGGCATAGTTAGCTGCCTTCCAGCCCTGCTGGGTGAGTTTGGAGATGGCAGAGCCCCAGTGGGTCAGGAGAGGTGAGGAGAGGTGACGGGCACTTGTCAGGGAGCTACAGGCCAGCCAAGAGGCTGGTGCAAAGCCAGGAGCATGAGCCTGGAAGCCTGGAGCCCCTAGTGGGTGCCCGAGTGGGTGCCCCTCCCCCCCTCCCCCAGCGAGGACACCACGCCCTCCCCCGCCCCCAGCGAGGACACCCCAGTACGCTGTATTCTGGGACTCTCCTGTCCAGGCCTGGCTGGCAGTGGCCAGAGTCCAGCCTTCTTTAAAATGGGAGAACTGGGCCAGAGCAATAGCACAGCGGAGAGGGCGTTTGCCTTGCACGTGGCTTACCCAGGTTCAATTCCTAGCATCGCATATATATATATATATATATATATATATATATATATATATATATATATGGTCCCCTGAGCACCGCCAGGAGTAATTCGTGAGTGCATGAGCCAGGAGTAAGCCCTGAGCATCGCTGGGTATGACCCAAAAAGCAAATAAATAAATAAATAAAAATAAAATGAGGGAGGGTTCTCAGGTTCCTTGGAAACAGTCTCATGGCTGTCTCCTCCCCTTTCTGGAAAGCCAGGCTTTGTTTTGTGGCTCGGGGTCCTGGGTTTACCACCAAGTAAGAACAACATGCCCGATCCCAAGGGCATATATCGACCTAAAGGCCCATACCCCTCCCCACAGACGGGGAGGACTCAAGTCAATGGGACAAGTTGTGTTAACGGTTCTGTTTCTGCTTCTGTACCCTCCGCTCCCTTGCTCAGGGCCATGAGAATGCCCCTGGCAGGGGGGCACCCAGGCCCCCAGGCAGGAGAGCACAGGGCTTGAAAACCTCTCCCAGAAGGCAATGGGGTTTCCGAATCTCTCAGGGGTATGGGGTCAAATGACGTGCACGCGTCATCATCAATAGTCTTGGAAATTAGAAGCTCAAAAAAAAATTTTTTTTAAGGAAAATAAGATCAGAAGTCTCAGAACTGAGAGCAAAAAAAAAGAGCTCCAAGTCCCAAGTCACACATCTGTATGGAGAAAATGCCACCACCTCCCGCCCCGGGAAAGAATGGACCCCCTCGGGAGAGTAGGAATGGGGCATCTCTGGGGGTGACCAAAGTCTCAACCGTCCTGAACATCACTGAAATGGTGGCTGTATGAATCCCGGTGGATTGGATAACATCCACCTCTTTCAGTTTTACTTATTTCTTTATTATTTGCTTTTGGGGTCATACCCGGCGATACACAGGGGTTACTCCTGGCTCTGTACACAAGAATTACTCCTGGCGGTGCTCAGGGGACCCCATGGGATGCTGGTAATAGAACCCGGGTCGGCTATGTGCAAGGCAAACATCCTCCCTGCTGTACTGTTGCTCCGACCCCATCTCTTTTATTTAAAAAAAATGTATTTGATGTAGTGACGATTTAGGTACCATCCTTTACAGTTTTTATGTGCAAAGTTACTCTGCTTCCTACCACCATCCACCGTCCCAGACCCTCCACCACGAACCTGACGTCACTTCCCGTGTCTCTCACCATTTCCCCCTGACACCCCACCCCCACCCCCGCCACCTCACCCACTCCCGTGACCTTGGCTCTGTGGCCAGAGCCCTGTGGTTTGCTTTCACAGTCACTGTCCACTCCCCATCCTTGCTTCCTAATGTACCACATATGAACACATACAAAGGGGCTCATTTGGCATTTTGTCCACTTACTTTTCTAATGGCAACACCCTGGGGATGGGCCCATTTGTTCCTTATGGATTTTCCATCAGTCTCCGTCCGTGTGTGTGTGTGTGTGTGTGTGTGTGTGTGTGTGTGTGTGTGTTTAGTTAACGTCACCCAGGGAAAACACTCTGGGGTCTCGGGGTCTTCTGAAAAGCAAGCCCAGCAGTAGGCCAGGACCCATGAAGTCAGACCTTTTCCTCTAGGGGAGTCAAGGCACTAGGGCCCCTCAATTTTCTGTGGGAGGACCCCGAGTGCCCAGGGTGCCCAGACTGCAGAGGCTTGGTAAGATGAGATGAAATTAAATATTCGTCTAAGCATGGGGGGTCTGGGCGCTGATTTCTGTGCCCCAGAATCTTCCCCACCATCCTGCTTCTCTCGACCTTCTCAGCTAATACACGAGTCCTCCCGACTCTAAAGGGATGAGACTTCCCAAGTCTCCCAGAGGTCTAAGGGCTGATCCGGGCTCTGCCCTGCACAGCCATGTCCCCCAACTGGCCACGCTGGACGTTTTCACCCCAAAGCCATGACTCCCCTTTTCCATGTCTGTTTCGCAGACCAACCTGCCTAGACTCTGGGGCTGGGGCGTGGAAGGGGATTGGGGGCCGGGGCATGGAAGGGAATTTCAAGGGGGTTGCATGGGCATTCCTTGGGGGTCCACGTAGGTAGGCCACAGCCATTGTATGTGCATACACACACACACACACACACACACACACACACACACACACACCAGTGAGGATGGGAACCAGCAGCAGAAGGTCCTGCTCCTCTATGGCTCTGTGTGGCCACACTCGCCCTGACCTGCCCTAACTCTGCCGCCCACATCCGCATCCCAGGTGCCCGCGTCTTGCAGAGAGCAGACACCTAGGCAGAAGAATTTAGCAGGGAGGATAACCTCCCTGAATGAAGGGTCGCCACAGCTCATTTTGATGACAGTTCAGCACCGTCTGTTTTCTGTCCCTGGCATTTCCCCATCCGTCCCTCCCAAAGTCACTCCCTCCTTTGCAACCCCCGTTTCCGATCTGAAGGAGGTAGCAAGAAGGCCAGGGGGCAGATTTCCCAGGGCTCACAGGCTGTGTGCCTGTTGTTTCTCCCAACAGCAACTCAACCAATGAGGGAATGAACGTCAAGAAGTGCTGCAAGGGCTTCTGCATTGACATCCTCAAGAAGCTCTCCAGGACCGTGAAGTTCACCTATGACCTCTACCTGGTGACCAATGGGAAGCACGGCAAGAAAGTGAACAACGTGTGGAACGGCATGATCGGGGAAGTAAGTGGGCCTTCCTCCCGGGGCAGCAGTCCTTGGTCCTCGCCGAGTGTGGGACCCCAGGGGGGTCAACGGTGCTCTCTGTCCTGCCTGCAGGTGGTCTACCAGCGGGCGGTCATGGCCGTGGGCTCACTCACCATCAACGAGGAGCGCTCGGAGGTGGTGGACTTCTCCGTACCCTTTGTGGAAACGGGCATCAGCGTCATGGTCTCCAGGAGCAACGGGACTGTCTCCCCCTCCGCGTTTCTAGGTGAGGGGCTTCCTGCCGGTGCCTCTGGAATGGTCAGTGGGGCACATCCCACGTTCCAGGGCTGGGCCCGATGGGATCCTGGGAAGCTCCATCTCGTAGGGAGAGCAGGAACGGGGGATCTCTGGAGGCGGCCAAAGTCCCATCCGTCCTGAACACCACTGGAAATGGCAGCTCTGTCAACCCCAGTGGGTTGGATAGCATTCATGTTTTCACACGCACCCTTTTTCGTAAGCAGTCGGTTGATATTCCTGCACCCTCCCAAGCCGGTTGCTTTGGGGATCACCCCAGCTTGCATGCACACACACACACACAGTGTGTACCCCCTTCCGCCCCTACCCGCAGTGAGCATCTCCCTTTCAGCTCCCACTTGGAAATATTTGCGACAAGCACTAGCAAATATTTCCGATGCTGGTCTTGATGGCAGAACGTAGAAAGTGTATTTATATCTGGAGGACCTAGAAAACATAAGAACCAAGAAGCTGCCTGCTGGCGGTTTATTTAAATCAGCTCCTAAACGTCCATTCGGCATCTGTCCCCCCATCCTCTGTCCCCCCACATCAAAGACAGACCTGGGTTCCCTGGAAGGGAGAGAGGGAGCCATGGCAAGGCACCACAGCGATGGGGGCCCGGTGCCCCCCGTAAGCAGAGTGGGGAGTAAGGCTTCACAGAGTTCAGATGAGCAATCCACACTCTGAACACGGCCCTCCTATTAGCTGAAAAGTTTGTAAAGGAAGGAAATGCTCTTTAAGTACTCTTTGACCGGTTCCATGGATTTATGTTTTTATGTGAACCCTTTTTTGTAAGCAACCGATTGACACCTCCCATCACCCGCCCCTCTCAATCAATGGGTGTGCATATTTCTGCCCTCAGGGTGCCTGGTGAGGCTACTTGAGAATGGAGTCGTTCTTTCAGGCATGTGACTCACGGAGAGGCACAGCTTGACTGTCCTCCTCTCTGATCCTCCATCTCAGCCACCGGAATCCTCAGCACTCAGGATTGGATTCCTCACTCGCTGCCACCTGCCATTTTCATCGCCTTTGTTGGCGGGACAAGGACCCCGGCCAATCCCGCACCCTCATGATGTCCCTTTTGTATGCCTCTGTCTCTTTCGAAAGGAGTCTCACTGCACCATGGTGGGCAGTGTTCAACCTGGGACTCTGGGTTCCCAAACGGCGAGACAGGAAGAGACACAAACTCGATAATGCAAAAGCAGTAAGAGCTTTATTCCAGTATCCTGAGGGTAGGGTGTTTGCCTTGCACACCACCGACCTGGGTTCGATTCCTATGTCTCTCTCAGAGAGCCTGGCAAGCTACCAAGAGTATCCTTCCCTCATGGCAGAGCCTGGCAAGCTCCCAGTGGTATGTTCAATATGCCAAAACCAGTAACAACAAGTCTCACAATGGAGACGTTCCTGGTGCCCCCTCAAGCAAATCGATGAACAACGGGAAGACAGTGCAGAAAGTGCTATCCTGGGGTCAACTATCTCACCCACAGAGTGGTCTCTTGATAGCGACCCCGACTTCAAGCAGCAAGCGGTTTCTATAGCGTTTGATTACATAAGCAGTACATGCCTTATTGTTTCAGAAAGAAATCTTAGTTACCAAACAAGGGTGTTTTGGCAAGTGTCTAAGGAAACAGTGGTCAGGAAACAGTTAAACAATAGTTCCCACTAGCAGTTTATGGTTACATATGCTATTCATTCTTTTAGGGTTAACAAAAGACAATTTTGGGGGCATTTTGGCTGGGGCATAGTGATTGATTGAGCCCACTTGCTGGGCCCTGGAACTTTCCCAGGTGGGTTCAGGTTGGCTAGTTACACATTGTTTCATTGCTGGGAAATGAATCTGTCTCCGTTCCAGGAACTGAACCTGAGGCCTAGCTGATTTTTCTCATTTCTGCTGCCTGTCTTGGGGCAAGTTTCGCCCTGACAGCAGAAGTCAATGGAGAGCCTGGTTTGGGACAACCCCCAGGCTTCCTGGGTAGAGGTTGACTTAGTAATCACGTCTAACTATTCCCCTGTTCCCGGTCAGACTCTTGGCCCCAGAACCAGAGGACAAGAAAGAGTTGGAAAACTTAAGTTTAGCAAAGAAATCTATTTTTCTTCTCTTTTATCAACTTTATTTGGTCTTGATATAGCACTATAGCACTGTCCTCCGTATAACAGTTCATCGGTTTGCTCGAGCGGGCACCAGTAGCGTCTCCATTGTGAGACTTGTTGTTACTGTTTTTGGCATATTGAATACCCCACGGGGAGCTTGCCAGGCTCTGCTGTGCGGGCAGGATACTCTCAGTAGCTTGCTGGGCTCTCCGAAAGGGATGGAAGAATCGAATCCGGGTTGGCTGCATGCAAGGCAAAGGCCCTACCGGCTGTGCTATCGCTCCAGCGTGGTCGTGATGTATTTCTGGTTTTGTTTGTTTTTGTTTCATGAAAGCCCCATGAGTTATAAAGTGGTTGATAGTTGGGTTCTAGACCTACTATGTGCCAGTGACAATCCTACCACCAGCATCTCCCCCCCCCTCCACCAGGGGTCCCAGTTCCCTCAACACCTGAAAGGCACCTTTTCTATTGGGCTGTGGGCATTTTGGTATCCTGTCTTCACTGTCGTTGACCCTGGGGTTCGGAGTGAGCTCAGCCTCCACACCCCCCATGTCCTTGGATCCCCCACCACCCCCCGGATGCTGTGCCCCGTGGTTTCCTGCCTGTCTGTGGATGTAGATCTTGTTTTCTTCCACAGATCGTCTGTGCGAGCCAAAGAGAACTCGGGGTCCTGTGAGAGGGAGAGAGATCCGTTGGCTCGTGAAAATGGGTCGCTAATATTGAATCTGACCTCGATCCAGTTTCCCTGGCTTTTTATCTTACCTGCATTCGTTAGAACGTTTCCATTAAAAAGTCAAGTGTTTGGGCTAAATTTAGCCACCAGCCCCCACCCCCCAACCCATCCCCAACACACACTCCGCTGACTTTACCTCTTAAATCAAAATAAATGGTGGCCAGGGGAGGCCATTTCTCAGAGCTGTTTTTCATGCAGGAGGCTCACCACGCCTCCTTGCCCCTCAACTCCATTCCTATCTGATCGACTGCGGCCCTTATTTATGGTTATTATCTGCAGGTTTTGAAAGTCATAATGAACCGCACTTAGCTACATTTTTTCCCATTCACTGGCTCGCTCGTCTGGAAGAGCCCAAACATTTCCGAATCTGATTGCTTTGCTCTTCATTATTTTCTATTCTCTCTCCTCCGAAAACTCCATTAACTCGCCTCGGAAACAGTCGCAGGTAATACCTTTGAGCCTTTGTGTAGAAATGTTAAGCGGAGGCCCTTCAGAGGCACAGATGACGATGACGTCTCTCTCTCTCTCTCTCTCTCTCTCTCTCTCTCTCTCTCTCTCTCCTCTCTCTCTCGCCATCGTTCTTTCAGTGATTTCTAAAGCGTTTTCAAGCCGGGCACATCCTTTGATCCAGAGAGACTCTGACCCGGAGTCCCCGCGCTTGACGTAGCTGCAGGAAGGATGTTGATTCGGTCTCAGGCTGGGAGAGGATTTCATCCAGACTTGTCTAAAAATATTTCTGCCTGGCTGCTTAGACTACAGAGAAAGTGTTTCACCTTTTTAAACCATCTTTTCCCCCAACTCTCCTCTCTTTGTTGTTCTCGCCTCTCTCTCTCGTCTCTCTCTTTCTCTCTTATCTCTCTCCTTCTCTCTCGTCTCTCTCCTTCTCTCTCGTCTCTCTCCTTCTCTCTCGTCTCTCCTTCTCTCTCGTCTCTCTCCTTCTCTCTCGTCTCTCTCCTTCTCTCTCCTCTCTCCCCTCTCTCTCTCCTCTCTCTTCTCTCTCTCACTGCCCTCCCTCGGTCTCTGCACTCTTGCCTTCTTTTCTCTCCCCTAATTCTCTCCACTCTCAGTCCCTCTCCTGTTAATCCTCTCTCTCCCTCTCTCTCCTCTCATTCACTCCCCCTCTCAATCTGCCTTCCACCTCTCCCTTCCCCTTTGTCTTTCTTCTCTCTTTCTCTTGTCTTTCCTATTTCACTCTTCTCTCTTCCAAACTCTTATCTCTCCCCTACCCTCTCGTGAGCCCCTCTCACCTCCCCCTCTCTCTAGCCCCTCTCTGCCTTCCCTTCTCTCTCTATCCCGTCTTTCCCCTCGCCTCTCTGTCTCCTCTCTCTTCTTTCTTTCTCCCTTCCTCTCTCTATTCCCTCTCCCCTTCCCCTCTCTCTAGCCCTGCCCCTCCTCTCTCTCTCCATCCCCTCGCTCTCTATCCCTGCCCTCCCTCTCTGTCCCCTCTCCTCCCTCCCACTTATTTTCTGAGAGTAATAACTCTCGGAGAGCCCGCCAAGCTACCGAGAGTATCTTGCCCGCACAGCAAAGCCTAGCAAGTTACCCGCCACGTATTTTATATGCCAAACACAGTAACAATTGTCACAATGGAGATGTTACTGGGCCCGCTCAAGCAAATTGATTAACGACGGGAGGACGGTGACAGTGACAGTGAATAACCCTCTGAGCACTCACCGTTACCTAACTTACCTGAACCCAGACTCGAATCAAACTGCAGCAGAATCTGTTTACTTCTGTGCCTTGCCCACAAGTCGAGGGACAGACTCTGTCACTTGCTCTGTGTGCCTTCACCTAGTTCTCAGCTCAGTTAACTCTGGATGCCTAAGCTGCCGCGCGCAGTTGGGTGAGTGTTCAGGGATTCTGACGGGCAAATAGGAGAATCCAGCCTGACCGTTTCCATGGTGTTGGCCCTGCCTGCAGAGGAAGGGGAGTCAGCCCGCCCAGAAGTGGTTCCAGGCCTCTCTATCCCCCCTTAATCTTGGAATACAACAGCGATTCCCTTCCTCAAGTGGATCCAGATTCAGACCCCCTACGCCCCCACCCCCACTGCTTTATGTCTGTGCGCTCATTGGCTCTCGGCGTGGTCCTCCTCTGCTAAGACCGCCTCTGGGTTAGTCTCCCCTTCTTGGGAAATGACTCTAATATCTTTCGATCACGATCACGACCATCCTGTTATTCGTCGATTGCCTCGAGCAGGCCCCAGTAACGTCTCCTTCGTCCTAGCCCTGAGATTTTTAAAAAAGTGCCCTATTCAAGGCTCTTTCAGGGTTAGGAGAATGAGACCCTTCCTTGTTACTGGTATTTGGCACATTGGGTAACCCACGGGGAGTTTTCCAGACTCTGCCGTGTGGGCAGGCTACATTCGGTAGCCTGCCAGTTTGTCCAAAGTAGGAATGAGATAATAAGATGTCTAGCTTATCTAATATCTTTATTCCTGAATATTAAGTAATTTTTAAGCTCCCAATTTTTCATTTAATTTTGTCCTGCCTTTCTGGATGCACCTCATTACCGGGTTGTTAGGATTCCAGGGACCTAAGATTGTTTATTACTCAGGCTAAATGTAACTGAGATAAATTTCAATTGCCGCCTCACGGTGTCTTGGAGTTCCTCTTACACTGTGAAAGGCAAACAGGCATTGTCACCTGTTGCTTCCGAGAGTATCTGCGTTGTCTGAGCCGCGTGACAAAGCACTTTTGCGTGTACGCGTTAGCCAGTGTGGTTCAAGCTTCGGATATTTTGGTTTCTTGATAAATATTAGCTCATTGGGTTGGAAATTATGGTGACCCCCTACCTGTGCTAGGCAGACTGCCTTGAACAAGAAGTTGGCCTGCTGGATTTGCGACCCTTACTAGCTTTATCAGAAGAAAATGAGAGGTTAGAAAATGCTGACGATTCAAGCAGCACTGTTGGGCTACTTCTGTAATTTCCACAGAAAGCGTTGACTTCTGACCAAAAGGATTATGAGGCTCAGGCCAGTTTCTTCCACAGAATGCACCTTGGTAGTGACATAATCACTTAATATTTTTTTATTTCTGTTTATATTTTTCCCCTAGCAAATCTCTGACATCCAGGGATGACATGCTCATCCAGCTTATGTTCATGGCCTTTGTCAGACGGGAAGGGAGTGTCCATTTATTTCGCGTCTTCTCTCTTACCTGTCTAGAGGTAACTTCCAGGGTCTCTCATCTCAAAGCTTCTGAGGTTTTGCATCCTTGGGAACTTCTGACTCTCAGACCTGAAGCCTGAGGGACCTGGGAAGGAACCCGTGTTCGTTTCCAGGTGGGGTGTGGCCGCCTTACCCCTGCACCATCCCGTCTGCAGGCCCTGTGTGATGTTGTCACTGCATCGGTAAATGCCATGCCCTCGGTGGGCGCTTTTCAGTAGCCCTCGAACCTGTTGCCCGCATAAGACTTCCAGGTTGTTTTGCTCGTGTCTGTGTGGCCGGGAGGCTGGATGGAGAGTGTGGGGTCGCAGAGGCTGAGCACGATCCCCAGCCCACCCTGCAGTCCCCCCTCGGCAGTGGAGTCTCACATCCCCTGTGCCTGGACGCCCCCCCCACCCCCACCTGTCCCAAATGCGGGAATGCAGCCAATGCCAGATGGACGCAGAGGGCCAGGGCCTCCTGCTGGCACATCCAGGCCTGGGCCACCAGCCCCACCAGGATTCACGACCCACACTCCCGCCCCGGGCTTCTGCCTTTGCTCTGCCCTGACCTTCGAGCCAGCTCTGCCCGTCCTGCGTTGTCTGCATTCTCCTTGACCTGATTCGCTGTCACATGTGCGTCTCTATTTTTACCCTTTTAGACACGGTCTTATGAAATACCTCGAAGATTTTGTCAACTAAAGAGTGAATTGGAGGGTTGAGTAAACACTGACCAGCATTTTGGGGGGCACGTCAGTGTCCTGTTGAACGGAGCTTTCTGTTGGGGGGGGGAAATTCCCGCGGGTCCTGCCACTGGGAAACACTGACCCTTTTGGTCACCTCCTCACCCACGTGAGGAGGCGCTAACTGACAGTTTCCTTCCTCTGCTCGCCATGGGACGATGCTAGCTGACCCTGTTACCTTTCTCTACCCGTCATGGGGAGACGCTAACTGTCCCTGTTTGCTTTCCCTACCCACCATTGGGGGAGCAATAGCACAGCGGGTAGGGCGTTTGCCTTGCACGCAGCCAACATGGCCGACCCGAGTTCGATTCTGCTGCCCCTCTCGGAGAATCTGGCAAGCTACCGAGAGTATTCGATATGCCAGACACAGTAACAACAAAGTCTCCAATGGAGACGTTACTGGGCCCGCTCGAGCAAATCGATGATCAACGGGAGGGCCTTTACTTTACTTTACTTACCCACCATGGGGAGATGGTCACTGACCCTGTTGCTAACTGACCCTGTACCTTCCTCTGCCCGCTATGGGGAGGTGCTAACTGACCATTTGCCTTCCGCCCGCCCCTGCAGAGCCCTTCAGCGCCTCCGTCTGGGTGATGATGTTCGTCATGCTTCTCATCGTCTCCGCCATCGCCGTCTTTGTCTTCGAATACTTCAGCCCGGTCGGGTACAACAGGAACTTGGCCAAAGGGAAAGGTGAGCCCCTGTCTGGATAAAGCGTTGTCGCCTGGACAGTATTGGATTTGGAGCCTGGCCTCACAATGGCCTTGGGGCATCATCAGAGGCTCCCCGCCTCTGTTGTCCTTCTTGTAATTCCCCTGAGGATGAGAAGGGAGAGGGCGGTTGGAAATGACGCTTTCGTTCCTCGGCTAACGGCTAACGGGGAGTTCATTGCTGTCTGGTGACACGGCTCATGGTGGGTTTGGTTGAGGAAACAGATAGGGAGAAAGAAAGGTCGCTGGCAATTAATTTTTAAGACGCGTGTCCACAGAAATGTGGAAGAGTATGGTGCATTTTCAAAGGCAAGCCCTGCCAAGGAGTTGACTTTATAGAATCTGCCCAAAGAACTTTCTCCAGAATGCTGACTCAGACTTGGATTTGGAGACCAGTGAATGTAATTGCAAAGTGGTGCCCACCGCTCCCTCCCGCCCCCCACCAAGAGTTACATTTTCCCCTGGACAATGCCTGACCTTCGCGCATCGCGCTTGATAAAGTAGCCATCAGGAGATAGAAAATTGAACTGGGAGGCATCCATCGTCTCGAGCTCATTAAGAAGCCCCATCCAAGCCAGTCCTCATAAACACATTACATCATTTTGAGTGCATTTCCCTCCGTGCCCAGCAGATCCTAAGTGGATGGGATCTGAGCAGTGCCAGGACCCAAGTCTCTGGCCTGAAAAATGACTTGTCACCGCAGAATACTGTGGACGGGCAAAGTCCCCAGCCTTGAATGACTAGAGAGAGAGATGTACTATCTGGACAGCGTGGAAGGTGCTTGCCTTGCATGCAGCCAACCGAGGTTAGATTCCCGGCATCCCCCAAAACCACCAGGAGTGATTCCTGAGTGCAGAGCCAGAGGTCACCCCTGAGCATCACTGGGTCTGGCCCCCAAACAGAACAAAACATGCCCTTTCGCTTCTTGTGGGACCTTCTCTCTTGGGATGTTTGCACTGGAAAATAGCCAGCCGGCCACGGGCATCTGTGAGACACTTGGGTTTTTCTTTTGTTTGGGGGGACACACGTGGACATGCTCAGGGCTGACTCCTGACCCTGCAGTCAGGGCTCACTCGTAGTGGGCTCAGGGGACTCTCTGGGGAGCCAGGGATTGAACCTGGACTGGCCAAGGGTAAGGCAAATGCCCTCCCTGCCGTCCCGTCACTCCAGCCATAAACGTAGCTCTATTGAAGACTTTCTGTTTCTGTTGAGCGGTGCATAAACCAGGCTCAGTCAGACCCAGAGTTGTGAATGCTGCCATCCAAGTCCGGTTTGCATTTAAGTTGGTAACCAGGGACGAGAAGGGCAGGGGCCGGCAGGGTCCTTCCCAGCAGATGCATCTCGTGGCTGGGTATTGACTGGCAGAGTGGATCCTCGTGTGCAAATTAGAGGGAGACTTCAGCCCTTGGGAAAGGGAGAGTTTAGCGGTGGGGGCCATCGAGAGACCCAAAGCTAAATCATCATGGATGGTAGTAAAGGCGGAAGATGCAGGGGCCGCACCCCAGTGAGAATAGGCAGAGGGCTGGTGGTGTTTCTTCAGATTGAGTGGCCCTGCGGCTCTTGAACTGACATCCTCTGAGGCAGGCCCAGGAGGACAGCAAGGATGGGGTCATTGGGAAAAATGAAGACCAGAGAAGAACCATAATCCTGATCAAGGGAACAGCAAACAAAAGGCCTTGGAGTGGGAGGAAGCCCCCCAGAGGGGCTCCAGAAACAGGACAAGATGGGAGAGAGATGGAGGCTCAGGTGGACAGTGGGGGTGGAAGGCTGGTGGTTCAATCCCTGGCACCCCATACGGTCCCCTGTGCACCTCCAGAAGTCATTCCTGAGTGCAGAGCCAGGGGTAACCCCTGAGCATCGATGTGACCCTCCCCCTGCCAAAAAACAAAACAAAACAAAACTAACAGAAATCCCAGGGCACGATAGTGGGGGGGGAATTTGCGGCCCTAAGGGGTGGGTGTAGGGGTGAGGAGGGGAGACCCACTAGGAATGTGGCAGCTGCTTCCCGGGAGAGGAACGCCCGGGGTGGTTTAGAATTGGGTCAAGGCTGCAGAGTAGAGCTAGGTTTGGGGGACCAGTATTTATCTCACGGCCACCCCCATATTTATCTCTCTCCTGGGCAAAGTACAACAGCAAAACCCGCTGGGAATCGAGAAACCAGCCAGCAAATTCCCTGCCCTGCTCCTTCCCTGCCGGTGTCTGCGTGTGCCGTGGTTTTCTGTTACTCCGCATTTTCTGAGAAAGATTCTGAGGTTGTATTCCTCTTTCAGGAGGCGGGTGGGGGTGGCAGGTCACAGCTGACTGCGGGGTGTTGACTCCGGGCTCTGTGCTTACGATTCGCTCCTGGAGGTGCCCAGAGAAACACACGCTGTGTCAGGGACGGAACCCAGCTTGACCACGTGCCAGACAAGCACCCTCCCCGCTTTCCTCTTGCTCCGGCCCCTCTGGGAAAAGTCTTACGGCACCAGGACCCTCCTCACAAAGCAGGAATTCTCACCCAAACTTCTGGGTCCTCGGCCTTAGCCTCTTCCCGATGCTGAAAGAGCTATTCCTGCCCAGGCATAGCTCCTCAAATCAAATTAAGTCCTTCTCAAAATTATCTGCGTCCCTCCTTTTCCTTAAGAGTTCCCCTCATCGGGGCTGGAGCAATAGCACAGCAGGTAGGTCTTTTGCCTTGCATGCAGCCAATCCGGGTTTGATCCCTGGCATCCCATATGGTCCCCCGAGCACTGCCAGGAGTGATTCCTGAGTGCAGAGCCAGGAGTAACCCCTGTGCATCGCCGGGTGTGACCCAAAAAGCACTGTAGCACTGTCCTCCCATTGTTCGTCGATTTGCTCGAGCAGGCACCAGTAACCGTCTCCATTGTGAGACCTGTTACTGCTTTTGGCATATTGAATACGCCACGGGGAGCTTGCCAGGCTCTGATGTGCGGGTGGGATACTCGGTAGCATGCAGGGCTCTCTGGGAGGGATGGAGGAATTGAACCCGGGTCATCTGCATGCAAGGCAAACACCCTACCCGCTGTGCTATCACTCCAAAAAGCAAAAAGCAAAAAAAGAAAAAAGAAGAAAAAAAGAGTTCCCCTCAGGGCTGGAGTGATAGCACAGCGGGTAGGGCGTTGGCCTTGCACGCAGCCAACATGACCGACACAGGTTCGATTCCCAGCATCCCGTATGGTCCCCTGAGCACCACCAGGAGCAATTCCTGCGTGCATGAGCCAGGAGTAACCCCTGAGCATCGCCGGGTGTGACCCAGAAAGCAAAAAAAAAAAAGAGTTCCCCTCATCTCGGGAGTAAGCCCAGAGCCTGATACCAGGCCAAGGAGAGACAGAGGTGGGTGGAATCGACTGTCTTCTCTTCCACGGCTTGTCTCTGGATGTTGTTCTTATCGCTGGGGCCCGGCATGGGCCTCCAGGGTGCAGGGGGGCTGCCTGCTCCCTGGCCACCGACCCGAACGTCCGAACGTCCTTCCATCTGAGTTCGCCTCTGCCGCGTTATTTATCACCTGCCTGGGCAAAGCCAATTCAGATCCACATAGATCCTTTGTCATGTCTTCATTTATGTAAATGACACCGAGATTAACCTTTGAGTCAGGGAGACCTTTATTTTTCCCAAGAAATGAAGTCACGGGTTGATTTGCTTTCCCTCCCTTGTACAGAACAGACTTGAAAGCCCTCAGCGCCCCCTGCCCCCAAGCCCCCAGCCCAACGCGTTTGGATGGTCGTGTCCTTGGTGAAGCTGAGGGCACGGATTGAAGGCATGCAGTGCGTGGGGAAAGAACTGTGTTGGCTGGGTCCTCGCAGCTGCCCCCGTAACCTGCTGCTTCCCTTGTGCAAAGGGCAGGAAGCTCCCCCCCACCCACCCCCAGCCTCCTCTGAGTCTCTGCTTGCATGGGGCCGAGGCTCACTCTCATCCCAGCCCTGCGTTGCTGTCCCGTCTGAGTCTGAAGGGGAGCCGTGGCTAGGAGCTGCGGGGTGGGTGCAGCCCCGTCCCATCCCCTCCATACCCGCTGCCACAAACCCCAGCCCCACTGCGTCCATCCGCTCCCGCAGACGCGTTTCACTGAGATCCATTAGGGAGATTCTCGTTCCTCCAGGCAGAAGCCAGACAGGTCAGCGCCGCTTGTCACACAGACCCATATCCCGTGTCACAGTCTTCTGCTCCTTGGCTCACGGTTCCTGATGTTTCTCTAGACAGGCGCTGTGACACCCACTAGGCAGAAAGGTAGGAAGAGGCGCATCTGGAAAGATGGGGCAGTGGGCGGAGAGCTCAGGGGGAGATGACAGTCAGCCGTGCGTCTGGCCAACCTGGGCTCCATCCCTGACCCTGCCAGGAGTGCTCCCTCAGCGCTGCCACATGTGGACAAAGAGCAATAAAACAAAAACAAAAGGAAACGAAATAAAGACACCAAGAGTGCACTGTAGGGGCTGGAGCAATACCGCAGGAGGTAGAGCGTTTGCCTTGCCTGCAGCCAACCTGGGCTCAATCCCCAGCATCCCATAGGGTGGCCCGAGCACCACCTGGGGTGATTCCTGAGTAGCCAGGAAGAACCCCTGAGCATCGCCGGGTGTGAACACCCTGCCCCCCCAAAAACGCGCTAAATAAATATAGATATTATTATTTTTTAAAAATTTTTATTAGTGAAACACCATGAGGTACAGTTGTAGATTTACAAATTTTTGTGCTTGGGTTTTGATTATACAATGATCAAATACCCATCCCTCCACCAGTGCCCATTTTCCACCACCATGGATAATATCCCTCCCACCCCCATCCTTCCCATCTCACCCTTCCTCTGTGGCAGGGCAATCCCCTGTGTTCTCTTTCTCCTTTTGGGTGTTGTGGTCTGCAAAAGAGGCATTGAGTGGCAGACATGTTCAGTCCATAGTCTACTTTCAACGTGCAACTCCCCTCCTGGGAGGATCCTCCAAACACCCTTTATTTGGTGCTCCCTTCTCTATCTGAGCTGCCCTTTCCCCTAGAATACCCGGCTGGCCACTAAGCTATGGAGTAATCCTCCTGGTGCTGATCTCAGCTATTCTTGGGTATTAATCTCATATTTTGTTACTTTATATCCCCCAGATGAATGCAATCTTTCTATGTCTATCCCTCTCTTTCTGACTCATTTCGCTTAGCATGATACTTTCCATGTTGTACCACTTGTATGTAAATTTCATGACTTCATCTTTTCTAACAGCTACATAGTACTCCATTGTGTAGATGTACCAAAGTTTCTTTAACCAGTCATCTGTTCTTGGGCACTCAGGTTTCTTCCAGTTTCTGGCTACTGTAAAGAGTGCTGCAGATATTATTATTTTTTAAAGAATTAATTGTAGCTCTGGGAAGGGTCCTTCTGTGTGTGTGTTGGGGGGAGGTGGGTGCCACGAGACCCCCTCGCAAAGGCTTGCCCACTGGTGGGTCTGTGTGCAGCTCTGGCCGGGCCCGTGTGAGGGCAGCACTGACGGGTCCCTCCTGCTGTCCGCAGCACCCCACGGGCCGTCGTTCACCATCGGGAAGGCCATCTGGCTGCTCTGGGGGCTGGTGTTCAACAACTCCGTGCCCGTGCAGAACCCCCGGGGGACCACGTCCAAGATCATGGTGTCCGTGTGGGCCTTCTTCGCCGTCATCTTCCTGGCCAGCTACACAGCCAACCTGGCCGCCTTCATGATCCAGGAGGAGTTCGTGGACCAGGTGACAGGGCTCAGTGACAAGAAGGTAAGACTGCCCGGGGCGGGGTTGCGTTGCTGGGGATGCGGAGGGTGGTAGGGATGGAGCGGGGGAGGGTCATTCTCCTCCCTGTTTTTTTCTTTTTCTTTTTGGGTCACCCCCAGTGATGCTCAGGGGCTCCTCCTGGCTCTGCACTCAGGAATCGCTCCTGGCGGTGCTTGGGGAACCCTATGAGATGCTGGGAATCGAACCCAGATGGGCCGCGAGTAAGGCTCCAGCCCCCACACTCCTCCCTGGGATTGTCCTCTCCCCCCCAACCTATCCATCATAATGCACAGAGCCAGGACACCCCACCCGCACCCCCGTCACCAACGAGGACAGTTTTGCTGGTTTGTTTTCATAGTTTGTGGGGCAACTCCCAGGCAGTGCTCGGGAGTCCCGGGGGCCCTTCCTGGAATCTCTGCCAACCCACTGGTGGTTCAGCGTGAGACCCCAAGGGCGTGATATTCCCTGCCCTGGGGGCTGCCTCCCCCTGCCTTCCCCCTGGTTCCCCCCCACCCCACAGAGTTTAGGGCCAACAAAGGCTCTTGGGGAAACGGGTAATGTTGGAGATGCAACGGGCACCACCTGCTGTCCCTCATGCCACCCGGGCCGGCCCGCCGAGTGACACGGTTCTTGAACGGCTCCGAGCTCCCGAGGCTGGATGCATCATTTCCAGATCTAATTTGGAAGTGGCGTTTCCCCAGCGGGCCCTTCCGGCGGTCACCGCGCCCTGCCGAGGGCGACCGGGCGAGACGGAGCCCCGGGGCGGCTCTGGGGTTTGTCCTTCAGAAAGAAAAGGCTCGTGAAGGGCTGGACGGCTGCTGGGGGCCCCGGGCCCTCCTGCTCTGTCCTCGGTCCTGTCCCTCCCATGCGGTGTCCCCTGGATCCTCGGGCACAAAACCCCACCAGGGTGCCCGGGCACCCACAGCCCGGGGACGGCACGGGGAGTGGCCAGTGTGGGCAGGTCCTTGGCCTCATCTGAGTCGAGCAGGGAGGGGAGCTTGTGTCCCTGGGACTCAGACACCTCCCAGTCCCGTCAGCCCCTCTCCCAGGCCCGCCTTCTCCATCAGGTGGAGGTGGAGAGAACAGCGCCCCCCCCGCCCCCATGCACAGCTCGGTTCAGGAGACCCCGAGTTTAATTCCCCGGTGTGGGCACTGTGGGGTCAGCACGTCACCTCGTGTCCACGTGCCTGCCTCTCTCTTCCCGGCCTCTCCATCCCCTCATCGCTCCATGGGAGGCCTTGGCAGGTGCTCCTGACCAATGCAGGGGCAAGGGGAAGGGGGAGACAGGCCAGCCAGAGGGGAAAGATGGGGGCGTCTTCATCCCCTGCCACGCTCATCCCATGGGAGGGCTGAACTCTGATGGCTTTCGGTCAGTGCCAGAGTATCCGGGTCCCTCCTCTTGCACCCGCTGACCCCCAAAGCCCCCTACACTTCACACAGTCCAGATTCCTTCCCAGCACCCAGACTCTGCATGACTCTCCACCCTGGCTCCCCTGAGCCTCTGTGCCAGGGCCCAGAGCAATCATCTAACAGATAAGACGCATGCCTTGTGTGTGGCCAACCCAGGTTCCAGCCCCGAGACCCCACAGGGTCCCCTGAGCCCCACCAAGAGTGACCCCTGAGGGGGCTGGAGCGATGGCACAGCAGGGAGGGCGTTTGCTTTGCACACAGCTGACCGAGGTTCGATTCCCAGCATCCCACAGGGTCCCCCGAGCACCGCCAGGAGTGATTCCTAAGTGCAGAGCCAGGAGGAACCCCTGGGCATCGCTGGGCGTGACCCCCAAAAAAATCAAAAAAAGGAGTGACCCCTGAGCACAGAGCCCAGAGTCAGCCCCAAGAACAGCCGGGGGTGGCCCGGAAAGAAAAGCATGTGTCCTTCCCCCCCACCCCCCAAGTAAAGAAGCCTCCTTGGAGTCCCTGATGCCAGCCTGGCTGCCTGACGTCAAAGCAGCTTAAAATTCTAGACTCGGGGTGCGCACAGGTTGGTGGGCAGGGAGGGGACGGTTCCCTGTGGGAAGGTCTGGGGTGCGCTGTGTCTGGAGCCCCAGCTGTGGCCTGGGGGTCCCTGAGCCCGAGCGTTGGACAGCCCAGGCCAAGGGCCCCTGGGAAGTGGCTGTGGGACCGGCGAGGATGTGCCCGGTTGGGAGGGCTACATCCCTCTGCTGCCCAGACCCAGGCCCCTCCACTGCCCAGTGCCCTGGCCCCCCTGCTGCCCGGTCCCTAGACCCCCCACTTTGCAGCCACCTGGCCCCTTCACTGTCCAGTCCCCTGACCCCTCTGCTGTCTAGTTCCTGGACCCCCCACTGCCCAGTGCCCAGGGCCCCTCCACTGCCCAGCCCTCTGGCCCTCCTGCTGCCCAGGTCTCTGGCCTCTCAACTGCCCAGTCCCCTGACCTTCCTGCTGCCCAGTGCCCAGGCCCCTCCCCTGCCCAGCCCCGTGTAGTCCCGCTTATGGTGTCACTTTCCTGGGTTGATCTTTGGCTGGGGACAGCCAAGGCCTGGACGTTGAATCCCCCCGTTTTTACTCCATCTGGAGATGACCCCTCATCTGCCCAGAGCCTCAAGCCAGGACCAGGCCGAGGGGCCTCGTGCCACACAGGGGTCTCCATGGGGGACAGCAGCCACCTGGTCCCTTGCCCCCTTCCTGTTCCGGGGCACTCCGGACCTTGGTTGGAAAACCAAGGTCACCGGAACCCTCAGCCTCACTGGACGGTCAGCTTCTGGCTGACCGTGGCCCTCACAAGCCCTGCAAGTCGGGCAGCAGATGAAGGCCCCCCGGAAGCCAGGCCCGTGTCCTCCCTGGCCCGCACCAGCGCGGGGGACTGGCCAGGCCGCTGGGCCCCCTGCCCCTCCTGACCACTGTCTGCAAACTCCGGGGTCCGAGCTGCGGTGGGGACGGCGTGGGCATGTCCAGCGCCTCTGCAGTGGAGCAGTTCTGTGGGCTCGGCCCTTTATGGGAACAGAAACCCCACATCCGGGAGAGAAGCCGTGGAGGCAGGGAGGCCTGTCCAGGAGAACGTTCCAGAAAGTAGCTGGCAGCCTATTTTTGTGCTTTTTGTAGCAGATTTTAAAGGGCAGTCAGGGGTGGGGGGAGTGGCAGAACTCCCCAGCTACCTAGCTTGGGGTCTAAATAACATGACCGCGTGTGGAAAAGCTAATTAGAGCCACTAATAATTTGAGTGACCTTCTCCTCCTCGGATGCACCTAGTAACGGATCCGCCCTCCCCCCTCCCCCCAGCCGGCTCCGTTTCCTTGCTCAGAGCGTCCGCGGTGCGGGCAGATAGCTCTCTTAATTAAATGTTTGATACAATTAGATAAACAGCAAAATTCTCCAAGTAAATAAGCTAAATGCTCCCGGAAGATTAACAGCCGCGCTGCCCAGAACGTCTGCAAAATAAAAATCTATATTGAATCCATTTATTTTATTTCTATGCACATGTGCATTGGTTTTATCCCCCCCTCCCCCTTTGAAAATCGCGCAGACCTGTATGAAGAGCTCCAAGTACCGTCCTGTTGAGCCATTTGCAGTGCTCGGGCTTATTCCCAAACGCAACACAAGCAGCAAGCCAGCAGACGAAAGAATTATAAATAGGTGCTCACGGGCTGGGGCACAAGCTCTGCATGTGGAAGCCCTGGGGTCCGTCTCCTGAACCTAGGGAGTGACTCCCGAGCACTGAGCTGGAGTGACCCCCAAGCACCCTTAGGGGATTGGGGAGATCTTCTGGAGGGGAAGGTGTTTGCCTTGCACCTGGCTGGCCAGGTCCCAGCCCCGAGACCCCGCAGGGTCCTGGGTGGGCCCTGAGCACCGCTGGCTGGGATCAGAGACCCAGAAAATCAAAGGCCCTGCGGGTTCTTCTTGAATGTTGAGGGACTGTTCCTCCGAGTGACGCAGGTTGGCCAAAGCCTTTCTGGATGCCGGGGGCCAGTGAGGGGGGCTGAGGGTACAGGTGGAGCCCCCACGAGTGCCTGCCGTGCCCCCAGCAGGCCCTGGGGCTCCACGCTCCATCTCTCACAGCTCCTGGAGTCATGGGGGGGGGGGGACAAGAAGTGCCTCGAGAAAGGTTTCCTCGCACTCGGCCGCCGACACGTGCTCACATCCTCCCCTCCCCTCCCCTCCCCTCTTCCCTCTCTCCCTTCCTTTCTGCTTCCGTCTCCCCAGTTCCAGCGCCCTCACGACTACTCCCCACCATTTCGGTTTGGAACGGTGCCCAACGGCAGCACAGAGAGAAACATCCGCAACAATTACCCCTACATGCACCAGTACATGACCAAGTTCAACCAGAAGGGCGTGGAGGACGCCTTGGTCAGCCTGAAATCTGGGTAAGAACAGGGGCGCTTAGTTGGGGTCTCTCTCTCTCTCAGCAGCCTGCGGATGGGCCGCAAGGAGGGCGGCTTCAGGGTCTGATATCAGGCCCCTCAGATCTACACGCTGTATCCGTGCTATTCTCAGCCACGTCTCTTGGCGCCTCAAGTGGGTGCCTGCTGGGTCTGGAGCAATAGCACAGCTGGGAGGGTGTTTGCCTTGCACACGGCCAACCTGGGTTCAATTTTCAGCATCCCGCAGGGTCCCCTGAGCACCGCCAGTGTAATTCCTGAGTGCAGAGCCAGGAGTAACCCCTGAGCATCGCTGGGTGTGACCCAAAAAGCAAAAAAGAAGGAAGGAAGGAAGGAAGGAAGGAAGGAAGGAAGGAAGGAAGGAAAGAAGAAAGAAAGAAAGAAAGAAAGAAAGAAAGAAAGAAAGAAAGTGTGTCCAGCCGCCCATGGTGAAGGGCCCCTTTCCCATCTGTTATCTGCCCCGTAGCCCCAGGTAGCTAGTTTTGTTCATCCCAGGTGTCTCCTTCCAGAACCTTCTTGATGGACACCTGGACTATAGCTATGGTTCTATTTTTCACAGTAGATCCTTATTGTGTGACTCTTCTTGTCCCCGGGTGATGGGTGGGGAGGTTGTTCCCAGACTTTGACATACCACGTGTGTCCGCATGTGTCAGTGTGAAGTCGGCGTGTTCCGTGTAAGACAGAAGGAATTGCTTGGAATTCCAGGTCAGAGCTCACACGCATCCTTGAGAAATCTCTCTGCAAGGGAAATTCCTCTTTGCTCCATCCATGTATGAGAACTGCCTGTGGGTGGGGGCTCTGGGGGATTCCCACCCCACCCCATTTCACCCCTCTCGGTTCTTCTCATCTGGCAGAGTCTTCTGGCAGGGCCAGACCAATTCCAAGGGGAGAACATCTCGGTCAGGCACCATCGATGGGAAATCTGCATCGGAGTTAGGACTTGTTGGTCAGCAGCCCTGTAGCCCTGTCTTCCCATTGTTCATCGATTTGCTCAATCCTACTGAGCACCAGTAACATCTCCATTGTGAGACTTGTTGTTACTGGTTTTGGCATATTGAATATGCCACGAGGAGCTTGCCAGGCTGTGCCATGCGGGCGGGATACTCTCGGTAGCGTGTTGGGCTCTCTGAGAGGGACGGAGGAATCGAACCCAGGTCGACCACGTGCAAGGCAAATGGTTTAAGGGTGAGGGGTGGGGCTCCCCAAACCACCCCCCATGACCACGTGCAAGGCAAATGGTTTAAGGGTGAGGGATGGGGCTCCCCAAACCACCTCCCATGCCCTTTGGTTACCTTCTCATTAATTTATTACTAATTGACTGGAGAAGCCAGGCCCGCTCTTTTTGGCAGTGAGTGAGTCTGAGGTTGTTTTCCAGACAATGTTCGTGTGCCTTCTGAGCTTGGCTGATGATCATTTTTTGGTCCGTGATGAGGCTGCATTTTACATGCAGGTTTGTCTCTCTGTTTTTGATGGCTTCTGGATCTTTTGACTGATAATCCCAAAGTGCTCCTCTCTGCAAGGCCATGACAGAGTCCTTTTCTCCCCCTTTCTTAGGTCTTTGGTTGCATTTCTGATGTGTGTGGGGGGCGGGGGGGGCTGAATATCGTGCAGGGGGAGATGGGGGGATTCTGAGAAGCCATGTTCGAGCAGAGCCAGGCCGAGAGCATCCAGGCGTCGGACGCCTGTCATGGCCCTCACCCTCCTCCGAGACAGTCATGTGGGGCCCTGCGAGGCCTTTTCCATGGAGGAGATTCTCTCCCATGATGCTGGCGCCGCCAGGTCTGAGCCAGGCGGTGCTCAGGGGACCCCGGGTGCCAGCCCTTTGATCAAGCGCCTGTCTCCTGGGGGACCTTTGAGTTCCCTTTCACTTCTTATTTCCTTAAAAAAAATTTTTTATGATGAAACAATATTATTTTAAAAAATGGGATGGGTTATAAAATAATTTTACAAGAGTCAAAATCACGAGGGTGTTCTTTGAAGGAAGGAGAATAGAAGTATAAATGAACTCCTCCGGTCCCCACACCCTGCAGGGAAGCAGAGCGATTCCTCCCCTCACTGTGGATGTTATTTCTAGAAGCTTCCTTCCCTCTGCGAGGGGAGCGGGGCGATGGCCCAGCCGCTCTGGAATGGTTGGAATTCTGGAGATCACTTTTCTGGGAGGCCCCCCAACCCCCACCCCACCCCGAGACCCTGAAATCTAGCAAGTTGGGGCAGAGAAAACCCAGAGCGAACTTGGCAGTGCTGGGCACCCGAGGGCCACAGACAGAGATGTCGGCACAGCTCCAAGGGCAGAGAAACGCGGGCAGTTTCCGGGAAGACACAGAACCCAAGGGGGACTTTGAGTCCTGGTGGAATGAGAAGCCCAGAGTGTTCCTCCAAGCCCTGGCCTTGGACATGTGACCGCTGTGAGCCTCCCCCCTCCACCCCCAACAACTTTCTTCCTCCCTCTCAAATGCACCAGGAAAAGATTCTTTTTTGGGGGGTCACACCCAGCGATGCTTAGGGGTTACTCACAGCTCTGTACTCAGGAGTTAATCCTGGCGGTGCTCGGGGGAACTTATGGGATGCTGGGAATTGAACCCAGGTCAGCTGCGTGCAAGCAAACGCCTTCCCTGCTGTGCTATCACTCTGTCCCCTCACCAGGAACAGATTCTTGATCCTCAGAACAGTTGAGAAGCTTTTAGCTATGGGGCACACCCCAGCACTTCCTAGAGCTTTCCAAAACACAAACCGCAGACACAACCACCTCTGTCACCAGCCGCGGGGTCGACAGAAAGCATACAGGAGACAGCGAGTGGGGCACGAGCTGTCCCCGAGCCCCACGGAGGACTTGTGTCTCACGATGGAGCTGGCGAGTGTGCAGGTGGGCGGCAGGTTCCTGCCCGGTGGCTGGGCACCCGAGGGCACTGGGCTTACTGGCCCTGAGAGTCCCCAAAGCATGTTGCACACAGAGACTTACTGCCTTTTCCTCAGGAATCCACTGACGCTGCAGGTCAGGCGGAGGGAAGCTGGACACTCTGGTTCATTCTCTCGTGGCCTGCCATGATCAAGGGAGAGAGAGAGAGGGAGAGAGTGAGTGTGTGTGTATGTGTTCTCAAAGTGTCAGGGCGGTCAGCGAGAATGCAGGGGGCCCGAGGGGTCATACGGCCGGAGGTGAGATACCTACCTTGAGTGCAGCCAACCCTGACTCAGTCCCTGACACCTCAGATGGTCCCCTGAGCCCAGCCAGGAGTGATCTTTGAATGCAGAGCCAGGAGTCAGTCCCAAGTCGTGCCAGGTGGGACCCTAAACCAGAAAAGAGAGAGGGGGAGGAGGGGAGAGAGGGGTGAAGCAGGGGGAGAGAGAGAGAGAAAGTGTGTGTGTAGGATTTGATGTGAAAATCTTGCAATCCTGTGGGCAGAGGGGATTTTCCAGGAGGGGGTTGTTTCGGCCTCGGGTGGGCACCTGGGTGACTGATGAGCCAGCCCTCTGGGCAGGGTGACACCCGACACTGACTGAGCCCGCCTGAGCCCACAGTCTCGGGCAGGGTCCGGGCAGCCGAGGGCCCTCGCGAGCACTGGCAAAGGTGACTGGGATGCGCGTGAGCTGACTCTCGGAGCATCTGCTCTAGGGGAGGAAACGAGCCCGGAGCTGAGATGCATTTAGGTTTATAAATGCTCAGTCATCAGCAACGGGTGTTCTCGGGGTGGCGTTGGTGAGGGGGCCCACTGCAAGCCTGGCACTCGTGCCAGACCCGAGCGAACCAACCGGGGTCCCCTGGACGGCTCTGAGAAGCTTCTGTGTCAAAACCCAGCAGGTGGCTTAGGGATCAGGATCCAATTCCATGGTAATTGATTTTGATTCTCAGTGATGTGTTCATGATATCGGAGGCAGTTCCAGATTTTTCTAGAAGCTTCCATCTGGAGCCCTCAACTCTCCAGTGCCCTCTTGATTTCAACCCCCGGGTAGTGGTCCTGGGAAAGAGCCAACAGGCATCTTTTGGCCTCCCTCACACCAAGGAATTTGCCAGAAGGGTTGAGAAGGAGGACTGTCTTTCAGCCAAGACGCACTTTCTGCAAGGCTCAGAGTATGCAGGGATGTGACTGTACTGATAAGGCAGGGGATCACGAGTCCCTTGAGTGTGAGGGCCCCAAGGGATTCTGGTGCACAGGCTTCTGAAGCCCCTGAGTTCACTAGCGAATCCGCACAGGGTCTGGGAAAGGTTATTTGGTTGAGTTCTGAGAGATGGCAGTGCTCTATCTTTAGTGCTCTGTGTGAGTTCAAAGTGTGGGTGCGTGTCGCAGACATTCAGTGGTTGAGAACCACCACCCCAGGCCTCCCCAGCAGAGGAACAAAGAGACGGGGGACCACAGACTGATGGTCAGAATGGCCCCTTGATTTTGATTCTCCGTGATGTGTTCATGATATCTGAGGCAGTTCCAGATTTTTCTAGAAGCTTCCATCTGGAGCCCTCAACTCTCCAGCACCCTCTTGATTTCAGAGTTGCTAGCATACTTACAGCACATCTGAAGGGGTCAGAGGTGTAGGACTGCATGGAGGTGTGATTGGTCATTTACAGAGGTAAGGCACTTCGTTGGAGACAGTTCTCTTGGGGGGATTAACTCTGGGAGATGCACTGTCTCCCAGGGACATCTATATTGCTTTTCTCTTTCCCTGTAGTTGTACAGACTAAACAATTAAGTTTACTTCTTATTAATACTTGCAATTATTTGGATAAACACAGTAAGAGATAATAGATTTCAAAACTTAATTCTCTGGGCTCTGAGGGAAAGCAAAGCTTTTACCGTAAATCCAATGATAAGTCCTCAAGCTGGTCCAGTTTGTCCTTCCCCATTGGGAGTCCTGTCTCTTGAGTCGTAACGGCTTGCATCAAGACTGTGCTTTTATGCTTTCTAGAGTGTCCCATTTCGATGGTGGGATAGCTTTGCCACTCTCCCTGGGTCACCCCAGGCCTACGGCAGGACCTCCTTTTGTGGGGTGTTAGG